ATAAGTGATAAAATGTCTTATTTAACAAAAAACCACACAATAGTTTTATTAACCAGACAAAATGTAAGTAACTTCTTTGCCTGTAAATTCTTTTAAGTAAAGAAACAAAACGACCATCCTGGAGGCAAGTTATTAAAGGAGCATTGCTTGCCGAGTGGAACATACTATGCTGAACAAATATGACAAGCCACAAATATCAACTCAAATGCTTTGGATCAAATATTTGCTGTTGTCTGTTGAAGAAGCTATTTGTTAAGTTTTCTATTTAAATGCGGTTTCTTTTTAATTTAATTATTGCATAATATTTGTAACTAGCATTTTAATCGTTTACTAGAAAACTAACTTGAATCAAATATATTAAATTCATTATGTCTATTACTGAAATATAAATAAGATAGAATTGCAAATTGAAGAAAGAAGAAAATAAAAAAGTTAATTCAATAAAATTGGAAAGTGAAGGCTAACAATTTGAGAAAGCAGGTAAGATGAAAATATTTATATGGTGTAGTGCAACTGACCCCTTACCTAATTAGCAGCACGCACACACATGCAGTCACACTCACACACCCAGGCTCAGTCCTGTAACAACAGCTTACAATTTAAGCTAATTACGTGGTGCACGTGAGGCTATGATTTAGCGTTTAGCATTGCAATTAAGCCGACAACTGGCCGTCGAGCGAAAGGGGGATTCCGGCTGAATTGGCCGCCAGTTGGTGGCTCCAGCTAACCTTATCATATCAGAGCCAGCACGCAAAGTAGCTCTAAGTAGAGTGTGTCAAACCATAATGGACAAGGGCGACAATAAAACCGCGAAGAAAACAAATGCCGGGATATAAAACAAAAGCCAATGCCCGTTGACAAGGAATGAAGGCCAACAGGAGCGACCAAAAGAACAGGCTAAAAAGGCAAAGGCCTAAGGATAACCAAAACGCGGATGCGTGTACGGTGGACGTTAGTAGGTTAAGTTATGGGCCCACGACCGCAACGAAACGTGAGGCTATGGGGGCGTTGCTAGAGAAGTGCAACAATTAAATTTAATTACCAGTGTCATAAATATGCCATGTCACACCCCCACTCAAGCCCACACAACTCTACCCACAAAACGAATGCAATTGCACCAGCAAAATAATCAAATAACATGCTGCCACGGGCCCGAGAGCGATTCACAACCGCACAACCGAATGCCGACCAAAAAGCCAGTCAACCAACGTGTAAATTACCACTGCACAAATTAATTATTCAAATGTGCACACTCGAATGGCTAAACAAACGACGCATCTGTGACTGTGTAGGCCTTGGCATTAGCTGGCCGAGAATGCAACTGCAACTGCAGCTCCAGCGGCAACTGCAGCAACGGCATCCTAATTAGCCGTAATAAAGCGCATAAGCATGGATTTCGGTCGAGCGCCGCCTGGCTAACCGAAATTGCAGCATAATTTGAAGTCCAACCAAATACTGTGAAATCAAGCATCAAATGCGGAGAGAATATATAGCGAGGTGGCTAACCTAATTTTGCAGGGTTCTAAGCCAATAAATCTTCTAAAGATAAACATATTTGTTGTGCTTCCTGGGATTATCTCCAAAAACTCCTTTAAAAGCTTCTTAAAATATTTTAGTAAAGCTTGTTTTTAGACTTGATGAATAAAAATTAATCACATTAAAAATGGAATTCTACGTTGTCCCAATACTAAAATGAATTAAGGTATAGTCAAAGGATATTTTCTTGGCACCCACGCTAAGAGTCCTGGATGTTAACAGTGATTCTTAACTTAAATTTTTCCGAGGAAAACGTCACCTTTAAAAAAAATTGACAATAAAATTAATCGTAGCATACTTTTCTGCACTGCCAGCAGAATTAGCCATTAGCAAATCAAAGATTGTGTTTACCCCTCAGTAATTCTGCGCCCGAAGACGTTTTCATATTTTCACTATTTTCACGCTCATTATGCGCCAGGCAACGCTCATTGCCCCGGTTCTTGGCCCTCTTACAGCAATTACCTGAGCTGCTGGCTCATTTTTATTTTCCTTCTCGCGCTACGATTGCTGCCACATTTATTTTACTTACTCGCTGCTTCTACCATTTTCTGTTTATTTTATTTTTCATTTTTTTTTTTGCTATTTCAGCCGGCCACAAACAAAGGAGGGCAGAGAAGAGCGTGGCTTGGCGTCATAATGAGCTCAAATTTATTGGGTCATTTGGAAAAATACGAGAAATCTACTGCGGCTCCTCTGTTTATTCGAGGTATGGACATTCCTTATTTTTCTTTTGCCATTTAGCCAGAAATTTTAACATCAAGCAAACACACGGGAAAAATAAAAGCGAAAGAGAAAGGGAAAATAAAGAGCACCCAAAATAGTTGCTTATTATGGCATCTAGATTTCGTTCTCCTTTCGTTTATTTTTTTAATTAGTCAATAGTTGGAAATGGCTGAGGGAAAAACGATAAACCTTGGAAAGGAAAATGAACTGTAAGATAGGTGAGCTGGGGAATCACCCGTTTGGAAGCCAATTCATATTTATTAGTGGGGTTGTATGAAATGTAAAAGGACTTCCATGAGATAACAGAGTGAAATGTTAACACAAAAGCAGAATTAGTTAGTATTTTTGCTCTAAGTCACAGAAATAGTATCTAAATAGTAAGCAGCTTAAAATGTGTTGGCCAAGATTACCTATATATACTTAATATTGAAGTAAACTACTCGATCTCCGAGTAATTATCTGTAAGGCTCTTACTTCCACACATTTTCCTTAGTGACTAAGTACCCAAATAATTCCCTTGCCATCAACTATATTAATTTCTCATCCAGCAAATACAATTTGTAATTAAATGTCGATAATTAATTATGAATTCCAGTGTGGCGTAACTAAAACGTTCAGAGTTCCTCTGCCTGACTTCACATTTATCAATAGCGACGGCAGGAATAGGAACAGGAAAGGGAAAAGGATGAGGACGAGGAATAGCAGCAGAATCGGAATCAGGTAATAACCAAGAACCAATCGATGCACGGACAATTGAATTAAAGCCAATTGCAGCCAGTGCGTGCACGGCACTGACTCGTTTTATTGTTATGAATTATGCTTGTTTGATATTATTGCCATCGAGGCCAATATAGTTGAACATTTGTACGGACCTTGCCATTCGAGGTGGACTGAAATGTTGGCTAGTTGTCTGTGGTCGCCTCCCGGTTTATGCTAGTATTTACATTATTCCATTATTATGGAATATTTTCCTATGTGCTTGTGCGGTCTTGTTTAATTAGCCAAATTTATGTACGCATGCTTTAAAACAATTACCACAACAGCAACCACGCCCACACGCACTCCCATAAACATGAGATATACGCTACTAGTTTGTGTTTGGAATTTTGAATAACAGTTGGAACTTAATAGAGTTTCTGGCTCTTAAATTAAATGGCATTTTGCGGGTCTGATTGGGCTCTCCTGCAGGGCGAATTAATGGCACCCGGTCAGACCAGGATCCTGGGGTTATTGAATAAAGGCTGTCGAGTTCGACCAACGAACCGATGAATGCAGCTCAATAAATATAAATATGAATGTCTTTAACTATTATGCCATGTGATTGCTGTGGCTTTCGTGTGTCTTTAATTATTTAACCATTATGTGCGTTGACTTATTTATGCCTGAATGTGCGTGTGAGTGCGCATATACATATGTGTTGAGTGTATGCTGGGTATTGGCTCCTCGTCTCCGCGGGCGGGACGTACTTATTTATTGATATGTCTTTCATTTTTAAGCTCCCGCGGCTGCCCGCAGTATTAAACGGAAATTAAAGTTGCCTGTGTGAAAAGATACATATACGATATGCATGCGTTTATTTTAAAAACCCATTTTCACCACATACATATTTATATATATTGAAACTGTTTCTTTGACCTCAACCCTTTTTTATTGGAAAAATCTTTTAACACAGTATGTTATTAAGGTCTTTTCGAATGAAAAGGTGGGAAAGTATACTTTTTAAAGGTGGACTGCTCTCGGTATATGCTATCTTTATTTACTTTACTTATTTTTGCTTTTTATCGAGTAATATTTTGTGATATATATAATTTTCCTAAAAAGAATGTCGATTCATATATTTACATTTAAATAACAAAACCCGCCGCGGTTTTATACAATAAGAATGGATCCTTTTAATTTTTAGACAAAATGTATATACAAAATTGATATTTAATGAAGCTTATATTATTTTAATATATGTTGAAATCTGTTAACAAACGATTTAACGATGTTATTAATCCCCTCCTAAAAAGTTGTAATACATTTTTTAAGATTTAATTCAATTACAGAATTATTCAACCAACAAAATTGCATACCGCAAAGGTATCTGCGACCATAAATAATTTATACAGCTATCAGTCGATTAAGCTCAACTGGCATATTATGCGAATAAACGAACTGTGATTGTCACATGGAGAGCTTTGCTTTTTCTTTTGGATTTATGCCATTTCAATCAGATCCGCTCTGTGTTTTTGCAACTGGCGCATAATTGTTTTCTATATAAACTGCAGTCTTACAATGTTTCAAAACTTTTGCAATTTGCAATCCGCAATTTACCATGACGAAAGCCTACGGCAAATGGCAATTTATGGAAAAAAAAATTATGGACTGACAAAAAAACCAAATAAAATAGAATCCTGGCAGCCAATTGAAGTGGGAAAACACATCATACATATTTTTAATTAATTGTTAAAAAATACAAATAGTAAAGCAGCAACAGAGAATAATACAAAAACAACAACAACAAAAGAATCGCAAAAATCGCATAGCTTTATTTTATATTAATTATGCAGCTGAATGATTGCAGCACGGCCATTTAAAATGCAGCAAAAGCAGTGAAACAAAAAAAACACAATGACTGCAATTAAATTGTGCGATTGCTTTATTTTCCTTAATGCCACTCGTCAACGCTGCTTTATATCTGGATGTGCATATGAATAATTGTATTAAGGTTTCCACTCTCAACAGGTGACGGGACTTACCTCACACGAAATCTGAGGGATTGTCCCTGTTGGTTTTTTTTTTGGGTCTTTAAGCCTGACTAAGCACTTTGACCCGATTGTTCGTTTGTTTATTTGTTTTCCTGGCTTTATTTATGGCTGTTTTGGCTTGGCACACACACCATCTATTGCATATGTATGTGATCACTAGGGCACAGGACACACATAGGATATGTCACTTTAATATGCGCACGGATGTGTCGCGGAGTCCTAATTTAAAATGCCGCACAATTTTCCGAGAGCAAATATTTAAATATTTAATTTCCAGTGCTGATTGTTTACATTTGCCGTTGCTGCTGTCGTGCCGGCTGGTATGTTTCACTCTTAATTTAATTAAAAATCTACGTCTTGCTGTCGCTTTTGGTTGTGCTGCGGTTAATCACAATTTATGGCCGTGTGTGAATGGGTGTGTGCGAATGGCGATGCCAAATTCTTGGCCAGCGGTGTAGGCCCAACAGTATTTCGCGAGAGAGCGGACGATTTTGGCAGGACGAGAGAGCGCGCGTGGATGCCAAAAACGGTAAGGAACGACGCGAGAGAAGAAAATCGAATAAAATTCAGAACCGAAATCCACGAATCACGAATATTGTTTACCGGTTTCAAAAGACTCACTGGTTTTTCGACAGTATTTTAAATAAATAGTTATTTAATAGTTAATTTTAAGAGTGATAAGATCAATTGCTTTTTCACCTGTGCTTTTTCTAGACACTTGTTATTTTTGTCAGTTATAATAAAGTATTTAAGAGTTGATTGGTCTGAGGTTAGCTTATCAAATTTAATTTAACACCAGTGATAATATTTGTAGTATATAGAGTGGTATTCGCAATCCTTCGATCTTCGACTTGAACTTTAAATTCAATTTAAACACTTATATTTTAGAGGGCAGTGGGGCGAGAGAAAACCCAACCGTCTGCTAGCGCGTTTCGAATAGAACTGAAGACCGTAGAAATCCGTCGTCGGAGGCCGCACGAATAGCGCCGAAGGGGTCTTCGGCAACCACTCGTTGATTCAACAGTTAGCCGAAGCGAGAGCACCCGAAGGCAAGGGCGTGGGAGAAAGGGGCTGCCTACGAAGGACTAGCTCAATGTAATTGGTATTACAGCCTCTTCTACTTCATGTGGTTGTTGCTGTTGCTCTTTTTGCTTGCCGTTCGACAGCCGCATTAAATGTGTGCCAAACAGAAAGAGAAAATATCCCACACAAGGAGGGGATGTTTGTGGAACTTAAGAGAGAATACTGGGTGGGCTGTGGAACGCATTCAAGGCAAAATAGTTACTGTTAAACTTCATTTTTAAACATTTTAAATTATGGATTTTATAACAACAAAATTAAAATATACTTTAATAAGTCACCCTTGTTTTTTATTTAAAATATTTAAAATAAATACTTACGAATTTAGATTTATGGATGCATGTGTAAGTGTTTTCTTATTATGTTCACGAATATTTATTTGTTAATTTGTCACCTAATGCCACTAACTGGTTAACCTAATTTAAAATATAGGTTGTGCTATCAAACTCCACAACAGTTTAAAAGCTCTAAGCTTTCCAAAGCTTACGTTTAATTTAAATGGGAAATTGGTCTTTTATCCCTTTGACTCCCAAATAAAAGAGGATCTTCTCTCTTTATCTGATTCCCTTTAAAAATGTCAAACCATTTGAAAAGTTTCAATACTTTTGGTTGAAGATTCAAATAAATTATGTTTATATGATAAATTTGGAAAGAAATACCTGTTTAAAAAAAAGTAAATTTTGAAATTTTTAATTAATGCGTAAAGCTTTCTTCACCCAAACCAAAATCGGTTTTATTGGTTTTAAATAATTTAGAAGATAATTTATAAAAGTGAACAACTATAAGTGATAGATGATAAAATCACTATCAATAAGTGTTCATTACCTATATATCACTAAATTTATTAACAAGTCTTTACTGTAATAGAGTTTTGCAATTTACAAGCTGACTTTTTGGAAAAGCAAACGTCCGCTTTTAATCTTATTGCTAAACACAAAATGATAAGTCTGAGTATTTTTTTAAAGCCCCAAAAATTGACCATGCGTTGATGTTTATTGATATTATTGGTTTATTCCCAAATTTTTGGAAAATTCTAATATTAAGTAAGAAACTCTGCTAATTGACAGCTTTGTGGTGCTGCCTTCTGTCCTGCGATGTTCTTTGTTATTTATAGTTGCTGCTTATTTTGCCAGACTCGTTCCATTGGCCATTTCGGCTATTGTGGCCATGGACATGAACTTATTCTCGGGTTCGGGCCTCATCTTCACGCTTCAAGGCCGACACACACTTGAAATGCGCCCTCAATTCATTTTCTTTTCTTACTTACGCTCCTCGAGCCAGTTTATTGTTATTTTGGCCATTTCTGTTTTTGTTTTCTGGCAAACTTCTTGTACTGCCATCTGCGCAAATGAAGCTTACCGCCCACTGGAGTCCTGTCCCTGCCAGTTTCTCCTGCAGGACTGGCCAGTGTCCAATGGCCGTGGCCGAGGCCCAGTCCCCCGATTGCCCCAAACTATTTGCCATGCCCCGCTCCCATAATGAATATTTATGAAGATTTAAAAAACATTTTCTTCGCGTCTGTTGTTTTATGATTTGCAAGTGTGCCTTTCTTTTTTCCTTCTGCCAGAATGCCGTCAGCTCAATGGCGTGCAAAGTTCTCTACTTGTCGAGTACGACGAAATACCGCGAATGGGAACATCGAACACTGGAAACTGGACACAGGAACCACATCACACACCCCACAGGCGAAATCATTCTAAATACGCATCCTACCATCGCTCCTTTGTCGTCTGTTGCCTCAATCGCTGCAGTGAACAAAACACTTCATAAAGTGTTCCATTTTTCAGCTTTGAAGGCTTGTGTTTTTATAATCTTGTCGGGACATGGTTTTTTCTACCTTTTAAATATAAAGGTATATATTAATTATTATTATTATTATTAAATATAAATAAATATTATATTGTAATAAATCAAAGAAAATTCGGGGTATTAGGTATTTTGGCTTAAGAAAAACCAAAATTTACGGAAAAATGTAAAAATAGCATTTGACCGTATATTTGTATTTCTGAAAGCATTGCACTGCCTGTTTTCATTTAAAAAATGTCCCAAATAAATAGAGCTAAATGTTTGTCGGGCTTTTAAATTCATTAATTTTATTATCTATTTGCAAATGTTTTTTTCAGTGCTCATTGGTTTGCTGCTGCTACTTTTGCTGTTGTTGTTTTCATTTTGTAAATGATTTCATTATGTGCTACAAACGCGGGGGTGGTGATGTCCGTCGTGATGCTGCTTCTGCTGATGGTCCTGGTGTACTGCGGCGGTGGCGTATACTTGATATTGCCAGTGCCATCGGCGGCAGGAGCAAGGATGAATTTGCGTCCGGCATGGCTCCTTGGTGGGAATTTATTGATAATTTAATTTGACATTTGCGGTCCCTGATTGTCATGATTGTTTTCATTTTAATCTTGTTGTTTTCCTAGCCGCTCCACTGTTCTTTTCATTGTTTTTTTCTTTCGTTTTTATTTGGTTCTTTTATATGCATTGTGTATACGATTTTTTTTACATCGAACCTTTGACTATTTGCATTTAGGTTTTATGCTCTTGTTTTTCCCACTTTTAAGCGGAACGCCGACCCCTCATCATCATCATTGGCGGGAGACTTTGGGAAACAATATCGATGGGGCGTGCTAAAGGAATTTACATGCCGTTATGGCCCTTTAAAGGATCGCCCCGTTTAACTTTTGTTTGGTGCTTTGTGTTTTGTGACTTTCTCCACGCTTTGTTCAGCTTGGCACATTGCAAATTTGCATGCGAAAACAATGAAATTCATTGGTCCTTGGACCTGCCCGGGCTGCTTCGTGTCTTATTGAAATGTCCTTCGTCCTGGCAGGCCTCTCCAAATACCTTGAGCAGCAGCAGCACCAGCAACATCAGAATCTACAAAATGTAATGTCCTTAATGACATTGCCAAAGGAATTTTAATTAAACTATTTCCTGCCTGACTTGCTTGCCGGTGCTGTTGGCACTGGGCGTGGCTAAGCAGCTTCGAATGTGCACAAATATTGAAATATTTATGGAAGCAGCTCAAACACATGAGCTTACAGACAAAAAAACGCAGTCATCTATTTAACTAAATTCTTGTTGAAAAATCAACTCACAACAAATTTATTTTAGTATTTAAAAACTATACAAATTCAATTAAAATATAATGTTACAGTAAGTATTAACAGGAAATTTGCTTACACGATCCCCCTAGTATTTTGAAGTTGTACTTCTATCTCTATTATCCTTCGCTTTTCAAATTAAGTAATGTAAAACTTCTTTGCGCAGTATCACAAATTCAGCCGGTGATAAAAATACAAAGCAATTCTTTTAAAATGAAAACAAACAAGAGTTTCCTTGAGGTTTTTCCTCTGTGGAGCTGCAGCAAACCGAAACGATCCAAGGCAAAACCCAACCGAAATCTGAACCCAATACGTTGCCTGCCCTGGCCCGTAATGCAATTTTAATTTCAGCCAGCAGCACGGCAGGCAGCAAAAGTCACGGGGAGGTCATGTGGCAGGCATCAGCTGTGCAGCAGATTTTGCACCGCCTCTCCGGAGCCGAACAGTTATCCAGAGGCAACCGAAAAGGCCACCCTTCGAACCACCCCATCCACCTTGCCGCGTTCCGTTTCCGCCGAGCGCTGCCATCATTTCCGCTGCTCATTTTTGACTGACTGCTGACAAATTTGTATGTCTTCGCTTTATGTTTTCGTGTTTGTCTTGTTTGCTGATTTGATTGTCGAAATGCTGAACAATTTCGATTGTCATTGTCTGTTTTCTGTTTTTTTTCTCTGGCATGGGGCAATCAGCGGCAATCCTCCAACTTTAAGGTGCTTAAAGTGGTGCCCAGAAGGTGCATCAATTTTGAGGTAACATAGCCGCAAGTTTTGCGCCACCAAAAACTTTGCATCAATATGCAGGAGTTTTCCCCGATTCCTGGGAAATGCAGCCATAAGGAAATTTCATTATTACCGCGCTTACACGCTAATGAAGCATGTAAAGTGTCAATGTAGTTGTATGTACTCTACTCCTGCCAGCCTCTATGTACACACACACACCACACACATGGGTGTCTGAATTTGTGTACGAGTTGGGTTCCTAGTTTTATTGCAAATGTGTGTAATGAATGTAAATTAGTAAAAAGTTTTCGGGCGGTGGCAGCGCCAAGGAAGCGTTTGCCAAACTATCCTGCGGCTGCAAGGATCTGCTCCTTGTGCGCACACGTATGTGTGCGTTATGAATAGCATTCGAATTAGGATGTCGGGCAAGACGAACTGCAGGTGTGTGCTTGTTAATTATGAGCAACTAAGCTACCATTTTATCCAGGCACTCAGAAAAATTTTATTTATTCTTTATATCCGAAAGGATAATTCCAATTGTATAGAATTAATAAACTTCGAAAACCTTTTAGATTTCGTTTTAAAATCATGAAATATATATTTTTTTGGAAGATATATTTTTAATCCCCTACTGGTGTCCTTTGATTGACGTTTACTATTGTAAAATTAAATTAAAATTGACACATTTGTGCGACGTGCTCTTAAATAAGTAAAGGCGAGTCTTCTTAAAGCATCTAACATTAAAATAATTGAATTAATGCGTTGTCCATCAAATTTTATGTTCCTTTTTGCCGTGCAGGAGAAAAGGTATTTCGCCGAAAAATAGCAAAAGCAATGACCCTCTAAGCCAATTAGTTGGCTATGCAAATTAGTTGGAGATATTTCGCAAGTTTTCCAACTGTTAATTATCATTTAACTAATAACATTTAATGGCAAACACAGCTCTGCACTTTGAGGCATTAGGCGGAGCCCAGTAAAAACTTTAAACTTCTTTCGCCAACTGGAAAGCGGGGTGGCAACCGACAGCTGCAACTTATTAGATGCGTTGTCTGGTTTATGCAAAACCAAAGGCAACATTGGCCCTTGTCCCTTGGACCACTATCAGCCCATCTTGCCAGTCCTGCACCACCCCAAAGCACCTAGTTCCATTTAAAATAAGCAAAGCAAACTAACAAAATTCGTTTATCAACGCCATGCTGTCTGCAGCTCAAGGAAAGTTCAACCAAGGTGCAAAATAATTTGTTGCAATCAGCTTAGCCTGCAAGGATTCCGAGGATGCGATGCCCTTCGCCTGGCCACCCAAAAAGGAGCTGCGTTGCTAGCCGGGCAAGTTTTCAATTTAAGTTGAATTATTATGACCTTAATTAACACGTCGTTTCATCATCAAATGCCGCACTACATCTTATGCTTTTGTTGCAAATATTTCGGCATGGCGCCGACGCTTCAGGCCCAGGTGGATGGAAATGGAAGGCTCCAGGATACCGGGACTGCTCGTGGGGCTCGGATGAGGACGTTGAGCTGCTGATTCGATTTTCTGCAGACATGCACTTTTGCCAGGAAGGAGCTGCAGCGGCAGCGGGAACAGCAGGAGCTCTAATCCCTGCGCCAAGTAAGTAACTGTTGCTCCGCCTGGTCGGGCTGCCCCAGACCCGTTCTGTTCTGGGCTTTACTAATTTTGGTTTTAATTAAATTCAAACTATGTTGACGCTCCCGGCATGGACGACCTCCGACGAACGGCAATCACGTAGGTGACGACCATGATCCTCGTACTCCTCCTTATGATGATGACGATGATGATGAGGCTGTGCCATTACTTATGTAGCTAAATTTTATGCACCTCCTAATTGAATGACCGAAATGTAAATTGAAAATGCCTGAACGGCTTAAATGGCTTTGCACTTAAAGAGCCACGGCAGTGGGAGCAAATATCCACGAAAAGGGCAATCAAATCTGAAATATAACTCATTCAACAGTGGCCAGGCTTATTATCTTGAACTTTGGACCACTTTGTACAATTTTATACATCTTTGAAGTTTTACTTCATAGATCAAATAAAGAAATAAATAAAAAGTGAATTTATTTTTTAGACATTCTAGTTTTGCAGCTAAACTCCTTTATTAAAATACTTCGAAATGATGCCGATAATTGATACATTATTAAAAAATAAATAAAATGAAATAATATTTGCCATTATGTATCATGTAACTTATTGTTATTTATATATAATTACAAGAAATTGAACTGTAGATCCCCTTATTTTCAAAATTTTGTGTATCATTCATTGTTAGTATGTCAAATTTGATTTAATTAAAAAATGTGAGAGTATGTCAACATTTTCGTCCTGTGTAAGCATACACTCATATAAATCTCGGAATTGGCCAGCCAAAGCCGTCATCATCAGATGGCTGGCTGCCTTACACTATTTGCCTTATGATTTCTTTTTAATTTCCCAGCGGTATTTAGGGAAAAAATTTAATAATATCAAATATGAGGACAGCGAAGAGGTTGGGGATGTCCTGTGGAAACTGGACAACTGCATGCGTACATGTGCGATGTGTATTTGAGAGCAAACATTCAGCAGCGCACAACAATGCGACCACGCTTTTCCCCACTTTTCCTCTCCAGCTTTTCCTTTGTGTGTGGAATGTGTGTGTGTCTGGACTTCCGCTTGGCTAAATTTGTTTACACTTTTTTTCTACTAGCCACCAAGTGCCCCACTCATAATTTCATTTTGAAATGTTTTCCTTAGCGACGAAATTCCCTCGTTTTTTCTACTTTTCTGTTGTTTTCACGGCCTGACATATGGCACTAAGCCCGGCCCACATTATTAAAACCAGCGACAAAAGATAACCAACAAACTGGGAGAACTCTCTGAAAACGGAAACCGAGAACTGAGAGACCGAGAGCTCGGTCCATTTAACAGACTCCAGGAGGCGATGGCTGAACCCTTGGCAGCACTCAGCACGTGATTTGCATACACTTAAGCAGCCACCCACGCCAAACATCTGGCCCACACTTAATTACATGCCAAATGAAAAGTTGGAGGAAGCAAAAAAATTAAGGAAACCAAAAATATAAACAGGAAAAAACAGAAATTAAATGTGCGTTAAATTGCCAATAAACATGGCCTGCATCTCAATGGCAACAAAAAGTGAAAGGGTTCTTAAACCAGAAACAATCTGCCCCAAGGCATTTACACTTGAGGAAAAGAGGGAGTGGAAAAAACAAGCTTTAAAAACTCTATTATAAAAACTCAAAGCAATTGAATTTCAGGATAAATTGATAGCCTGGGCAACATCACTACATTTCAATATAATGTTTTACACTACCAACATTTTTTGCCAAAAAGAATTAATTCGGGCCTCAAGTCAACTAAAAATTTTCTTTAAGGATGAATATTGGAAATGTGTGTACAGAGAATTATATTCAATACTTTTTTAAAAAGTGGGCGCTGACTTTTGTGCTGGAAGTTTTGAAGTACTCGCAGTCCTACTCTCATTCCAACGACGACAGTCAAGTCTACACCTCACATTAACGAATATTACGAATTGAATTTAGAAAAATCGCTGCAAAAAGCGAAACTTTTTAAACTTTGCTTGTGATTCCTCTTGCAGAGGAACAGCCACAAAATAGCGAATCAACGACCCCTCGTAGATCCTGCAATGGAGGCCTTGCGGAACAGGAACGCGGCCAGGATCAAATACGGTGCTCCTCCGTCGGCCAAGACCGAATCGACTGTAAGTGACTTGATTTCGGGGCTCACAGGAAGATCTGACTTAATGTGTGTATTTAGACGGATGTAAAGTTCACTGAGGAAGAGAAAAAGACGATTTCCGAGCTGAAACAGCTATATATGGAGACCATAAATTTAGACGTTGCCCTTCAGCGCGACATTTACAACATGGAGAAGAGCTTCGAGGAAAAACACAGCGTCATTTTCGAGAAGCGCAAGAAGATCCTCGAGTAAATCACTCATATTTTCCCTTGTCATAAACGAATCGTAATTCTTTTTTTGCATCGTACAGTGAATTTAGGAAGCAAAACCACGGTGACTCGAAGCCAAATCTAAGCGTACCTCATTTTTGGTTAAAGGTTCTTAAAGCCTCGTATACAGAGTTTATAAGCAAGAAGGACGAGAAAATTCTAGAAGTGAGTATTTCAACTATATTTTATGTCTTTATGATGTCATGAAAGTTGAAATAATACTGGGCAATCTGTTTTAAATGTATAGATTTGATTAGACAATGCTTGTTGACCATCTTTTTAACCTGAGGTGATTACCTTAACTCAGATAATTGCTTCTTTAATCACAAGTTGCACTCAAAATTCATTTTTTATGATTTGAGATCTTAATACAATGGAATTTTTATATTTTCTCTTTTGAATGGAATGTTCATATATACGCAATAAAAAATGACTCACTATAATTTTATTTACCCACAGTGCTTGAGCGATATCCGAGCCCGACTTCATAGTGATCCGGTTGTGAAGTTCGACATCGAGTTTCACTTTTACCCCAACGATTACTTCACCAACACTGTGCTGACCAAGACGTATTTCCTTAATTGCTTGCCGGATCCGGAAGATCCGCTCTCGTACGATGGCGCCGAGATCTACAAGTGCGAAGGCTGCAACATCGAGTGGAAGCAGGCTAAGGACCGTGAGAGGAAGGGTAAGGTCATCTGAAGAAACTATTATGCTTAGCAGTTTCATAAACTTCCTTACCAGATGAAACCCTCGAACAGACGTCGTTCTTCGATTTTTTCACACCTCCCATTCTGCCGGCCGATATCGAAGATCCCAATTACTGTGACATCAACGTAAGATCGGAGAGGTTTTTTTTCCCGAAACAACTTACATTTATCTTCCACAGTCCATACTGCAAAACGACTTCGAATTGGGCTTTTATCTCAAGGAGCGTGTGATTCCCAAGGCGGTGATCTTCTTCACTGGCGAGATAGCCGATTGTCAGAGCTCCAGCGATTCGGACACAGAGACTGATGATACCGAAGACGAGTCGGATGCCGAGGAGGAGGAAGTATCCTCGAATGGCACTGACAAGTAACAGTTCTCAATTTTACACGTTTTTTTACAATTTATAAATATTTTTTCAATTCTTACACCGAAGCACCAAACAAATTATTGATCTGTCCTTACATGCTACAGAACTACCAAATAAGCATTTCATTATACGTATACCAAAAAGATCGCTCGTTCTTTAATGCCTAACTAGAGGATTTGTTATTGTGGTGTTGGGATTCTTGGGTTTATACAATGCATTGAGCCTGGTGTATAGTACAAGGGCTTGATTAGTTTAAAACGTAATACTAGTGGGCTGAGCTACAGCACTCGCTTGTAGCCAGCGTTGTGGGTTCATCGGCTTGGCCATGTCGTCGTCTTGCTAAAATCCTAATCCAGCACGGCCCATTTTGACAAAAAATGTTCACGGTACAACATGATACAAACAATATAGTTAAGTGGGGGGGAATCTTCTATGGGACCGCCAGTTCCTGAGATGGTGGTGGCGATTTCGGTGGCTGCTGGTCATGCCGAGTTCGATCTCCGCTGGGCAGTATCACCTCCTCATCCTCTTCATTTTTCTCCTCCGAGAAAACCTCCTCCGCTTCTTGATCCGCCGTTAAGTGGGTGGCCACCACTTCGCATTCCGGCTTGCTGCTCTTAAAGCGGTTTAGTCCCGAAAGCGTTATGCTTGTGCCGCTTACATCGATGTATACCAAATTGGGGGAACATTGAACCAGGTGCTCCAGCGTATGATTTGTGATGAGGTGGTAGTTCCGCAACGACAGACGCTCCAGTCTGTTGTCCGGCGAGCGGTTGACGTTTCGAATCCAGACAACATCCGGTTGCACGGGTCGCGACGCTCGGCCAAAGCTATAGATCGCACGATCGGATACATAGTATTGAGGTGAGGCCTGACAGGTCGATGGGCGGTGGCGTAATCGCCGGCTGTGATCACGGTCCAGTGGGTCCAGCATGTTCCAAAACATAGGATGCTGTACCACCTGGTCGAAGTTCGGACGCGGATGTGAACGATGACGACGTGGGTGCATTACGACAACTGGGTTCGTGGGATTCATGTAGATAATCTGATCGTGGCGCGGTAGGAAACGACTGAAGGCGGGATTATTGCCGCGCCAGTTGCGATAATGTTCAGCCTGCTCAATTATGGCCACCATATTCCGCTGCTGTCGGGGATTTTCATTCCCGGGCGGATTAACTTCGGGTACGTATATATAAGCGCGTGGCGTAGGCACCAGCCTCGGTTCCTGCTCGGGAGCATCGGCATTGTCCGCATCCGCCGCAGGTGGAACAGGATGTGGTGGAATATCGGCGGCCACACTGGGCATTGCAATCACCACCAGCGGCGAGCGCAAAGGTGCTCGACCACTATGACCATTGCTGCGGGGCGATGCAACATCTGATTTGTCTGACGAGGAAGCCGAGGTCGCCGAGGTGGAGGAGGTGTCCTCATCCTCGGATTCCGACGGGGCTCTGATCCTTTTACCCTGAATATCTGGGATATTGGAAGCAGGTTCTGCTGGGGCTGGCGACTGCTCCTCCTCCTTTCTCTCGTTACAGTTGTCAGAGTTGAACATATCGGCACCTTCATCCTTGCCCTGTGCAATTTTGCATGCACGTAGGTGCTCCATGGCGGCACGCGATGTAGACGGCTCGTCGTCGTTAAGCACTTTTAGGGAGTCCGGCTGCGGGGGCACAGTCTCGTCAGTGGTGCTGCCGTTATTGGTCTTCTCGGAGGACGTTTGTTCAGAATGCAGGTTGGGCGGCGACTCCAGCAGAAGCTCCTTAAGGTTCTCGATTGCGCTGAAGCACTGCAGATCAGAGTTGGTAATAGGCGTCAAACGTAAATCAAGTGCCTAAGAAATATAGCATATTATAAAAAGAACTACTTGTCTATCGTAGGAAAAATCAAACCTCTAGTTTCTGAAAACCAAAGCGAGCCGCCATGCTACCGTACGGCACAAACTTACAGAGCGTCTGACACCCTTTAAGACTAAGACGCCGCAAGGAAGGCAGTTTTGAAAGGCCCATAATGTAATATGGTTCGAACCAGTTGTTGTCCTCGATGCTGAGATCCTAAATACGGAATTAAGTTTTTAATAAGGGAAATCTTCATAATTTCAACGCACCTCTAGGTCCACCAGATGCATCTCTATCGTGTGAAATATGCTCTTGGCATTATTGCCCACTTTTACGCTGCAATCCTTTAGCTTAAGACGCTTCAGGGAGACAGGGAATTCGGATATGTGTATCTAAAACAGCAAAAGCATTGAAGCAGATTCAGGTTATACTTGTAGTGCCACTCACGTATTCGAAGTCCAGGCTGACGCCCTGCAGTTCCAGCACTTTCAATTGGGTAGCCACCTTGGGGAATATGGAGCTCAACGTCTGAGTAAATTGGCGGAATTCGCCAGCAACATGCTGTGACGATGGCGGTCCGCAGATTTTGATGGTGTGAGTCTTTTCAGTAGCTCGGCCAAGAATCTCTTCGAGAATGCCCATGGGCAGCGGTCCGTTGCTGAGATCTATACGGTGATAGAATCGGCGATCCAGAAGAAGGTTCTCCAAACGAGGCGAACAGCTATAAAATTTGGTGGGTTAATCACAGAGATTGGAAAAAATTGAATATGAAGGTTGCAGAAATCTCGTCTAGAAAACATTTAAATTTCAAATTATTGTTTTTTTAAAACATCGAAAATCAGAGTTGAATCAGACAGAAATGTTTGCAGATAAGCAATATTGACACATTTTTGCAAATACGCAATAATGGAAATAATGGGATTAAAAATAATATGGTATTTAGTTATGATAAATTGAATTAACATTTGATGCCTATTAGGCATTTCCTGGCATCAACAAGAAATTATTTTTATCTACACGTTTCAGAATATGTCCTCGTCCAAATGTAAGTCAACGTATTTTATGTAATAAGATAAATGTTAGTGATTCCCCAACTAGGGATAATCTCGGTCTTAAGAGATTTCTGCAACGCAGCTGATAACGGGGGGACTCACTGCATCACCGCCATGATGGAGAACGTGTCCAGGTACTGGAAGATCTCGCAAAGCAGCTCATCGCAAAAATCCATCAAGTTGATCTCCGAGTCCGAGATGCGATGCAGTTCCTCCTCTTTTTTGCGCTGTTTCGTCTGTGGCTCCTCCTCGGCCGGGATTTCTGTGAGCGGTGGCTGAGGGGGCGTGGCGGCCGGCTCCCGCCCACAACGCTCGCTGGCCGGAAAGCGGCGCTTTGGCGCTGCGAGGCACGCGCTGCCCACTTCGGCCTTGTCCATAATAGAGGCTGCTGCTGTCCTTTATTGCCAATTTTTTCCTGCAGCTTTTTCTTCCAGCTAAAATGCAAGTAACCAGTGTGACCGCAGCCAGATCACGAGCAAAAACGATAGATAGGGGTGTTCGAGTATCGCTGAATAATACCATTCGACGGTTAGTTAGCACTGGTCAAGCTATTAACAGTGGTTTGATTTCCAACTAATTAAATTCAGAAAGACTGAAAGCAATGTTATATATTTTAAAAAATGACTTATGACTACGCTGCGAAAAATTCTGGCCTGTTCCGGTTTTCACTTTCCAATGATAAAGAATACTATCGACTACGATTGTGATATATATTTTAAAGATTAACATATCTTAAGCACTAAATTACAAACTGGTTCCATCTCCAGCGCCTGTGGCACCTCACGCTCACATCACTAGCAACCAGTGCTGCAAAACCTCGCACTGTCGTTACCAATTTCAGCACTTATCTCGTGTATTTTTGTCTGCGGCTTTATTGACTGAAAATGCACCTGCTGAAGCATCTTCGCCAGCTAAACGGCCTCCAAGGACTGCGGCAGGCCATCCGCCAGGTGTCCTCCGCCCCCACCAAACCCTCTGCCCTGCAGTACGAGCGGGATCCGCAACCGCTGTTTACGGATGCCGAAACACAGCGGCTGCTCCAGTCCATGACGCAACTGAACTTGGATCGGGTTTACCGGAAGCGCACAGTGCCGGACAACAGCAGCGAAACGAAGTTCATGACCAACGAGCAGCTGGACAGCGAGTTCCAGGACATGGTGGTGCGGGCGCAACATATGCTCCAAATGCCACCAATCGTGGAGATCAAAAAGGATGTCCAGCGCGTCATAGCCAAGGATCCTGCGCTTAAGGACTTCGCCAGCACCAAGTACGTTTTCACGGACATCACCTTCGGCCGGCGGCAGTCGGAGCGCAAGGTGTTCGTCCGGGAAACGGACGGAACCTTAGAATACGCCAATCTGGACACCATCAAGCGCATGAACCAGTTGTATTTCCCTCTGGAGGGTCGCCAGTCGTATATTCCTCGCATGTTTGCCTTGGAGGAACTGCTGTCTAAGTGCCTGACGGAGCACAAGTACGAGTTCATCCTGGATCGCCTCCTTGTGCAGTACGAACCACATGAGCCGGAGTTCCATAACATATCTGCGCGCGTCTTCGAGCATCTCAACGAATCCAAGCAGTTCGATCTACTGCGCTCTACGCGCCACTTTGGACCCATGGCCTTCTTCTACGCCTGGCATCGCTGCATAGACGACCTGCTGTATGACATGATCCGCCGGGATTACCTGCACAACGCCGTGGAGCTGATTGCTTTGAGCTACAAGGTACACCAAATCCCAGTTGAATATGAGGCTACGCTGACTGAATTGGACAAACTGCATCCCACACCCTCGCAGAAAGCTCTGGCGGAACTGAGAAGCGTCTTTCGTCGCCCGGAGGACCAACAAGGCATCGAACAGGAGATCAACACGGCCATCGGAAAAACGGAGCAGGATTTCGCAGCCGATGAGATCAGTTTGAAGTTTATCGAGCAGTACATTGCCAGCGAACATTCACTGAAGAAGGTGCAACTGGAATTAGCAGTGCAGACCTTGAAGGAAGTCAATCGGGAAAAACTGTTGCTGTTCCAGGGATTAAAGAAGGCCCACGGCGTTCAGGCGTCGTAGGATCATTCAGCTTTATTGTTATCCATTTCTATATGCTAATAAATACCAGTTAGGTCAAAGATTTGTATTTGCCATTTTCTTAAAGATAGTCTTAGAAAGCTGTTGGAGGTGCCCGAGGATGCACTTTCTCCGGTGCTTCGAGCATATCCTCTCGCTGCTAAAGCGCTTCATACAAACGGAGCATCGTTTGGGATCTGTTTTTCCCTTGCCCAGCTTGTTGTGAGTTCCGAAGAGGGTGAGCAGTTTCGCCTTAGAACATTTCTGCTCCTTTTTTCGATGAATTAGAATCGCGGTGGTGGACTTGAAGAAACGTCTGCACGTCAGACATCTGAAGCACTTCTTGCCGCTATGCATTTTTAGGTGCTGGAGCAACTGCATCTCCGAGTGACTCATGGTATTGCAAAGTAGATGCGGGCATTTTAAGAGCATACAGGACTTTCTTAGGGCCAAAGCAGGACAACTGAGATTGTGGCGACTTATGAGGATCTCGTGTTCCAGCTGCTGGCCACAGTTGCAGCACAGAGCACTGGGTCCAAAGTGCACGGTCATGTGGGCCTGGTGCTCCAGCAAAGTGTTGGCTATGTCGCCACAGATCTGGCACTCCAGCATTCCGTTGGGAAACATGCTGGTATTCTCGCTGACATAGGTGAGGAATCTGCCATCCTGGCTGGAGGAAGGCGTTTGATTTGGAGTATCCTTGGGCTGTTCTTCGGGGAGATTCCACTCTACTGAATCCCGGCGACACTGGATGCCCACATCCTTTGTGGTCCGCTCTTCTGTTTGAATGGCTCGTTCCCGGCAAGGAGCTGTGGCCTCACTTGCAAACATCCCAGTGGCCTCGTTTAACCTGTCCTGCTGTGCTGGTTTTTGTGCTCCATCCTTAACGCCACCGTTGGTCATTGTCGTTGCCTCCTGTAGTCCATTCACAGGTAAATTGTTCTCCATTGCGTATCTTCTTGTCACCCACTTGGTCTCCACGCAAACGTATTCAGGCAGTTCGTAGATGGGCACCGAGATGGGCGTAACCACCCGGACGGGGGCGTGGCGAGGATTGTTTCCGGCGGACCCGGTTCTACCGGCGTTTGCAGCCTTTGCCGGGACCGAGAGACGCATATGCATTTTTCCCAGGGTTGTCATCAAAACGCACTCAAGTACTAAAAGATCGATAACAATTCCTTGCAGGATTACGCATTTCTATCGGGGATCGGTTTGTATCCACAGTTTTGGCTTCTATTTAGCGAAGTTTTCAAAGACGAACAACTGGCAGGCACAAAAAAAGTGATTGTTGTCAGAGGTGATGGCAAGTCAGATTTTTTCCAGCTAGATCTGTAATTTTTTCGGCGTTTTCTTTAAAAGAAATTTCTATTATATCAAATTGTATTATTAATCCCTTAAAAATGTATTTTACACGAAAAAAAAGTTGTTATTATATTAAATCATGTATAGGCGTTTTCAAATTAAAAGTATACATAGCTAAAACAACAACCATGAAGGGAATGTTACCAGCTAACAGTGACATTCACAATAAAAACGGACAAAGCGCCAAATTTGAATTTCTATAAACATACTATAAATTTACCATACGAACACTTATACTGTTTATAATTTAATCATTTCGTTTTTCTCCTTATTCGCATTTTTTATTTAAACAGAATATTTTGGTTAGAATTTATGTTGAATGTTGTTAAACAAATTGGAGTAACAATCTACAGTTAAGTAGAAAGGGAGGCAGAAATGGTAGAAAATCCTTTTATTCATACAGATTGCATCCATCAAAACATTACTTTTTGCTCTTATCCTTATCCTTGATGGTGTACTTGTCGTAGGACTTGGTGGGATCGTAGGGCTCCCAGCGGCTGGCGGGGAATATGTGCTTGTTGCGTTCGTACCAGGAGCGGAGAAGGACCTTACCCGCGTGCGACTCTTCCTTCTCCACGGAGGCGTCGCTAATCATGCGCACGTCGTCGTGAACGTCGAACTGGAAAAGCGGACCGGACTTTCCGCGCGCTTTGGTGACGATGAAGTCGTAGAAGGAGTAGTGGTGCGGCAGGATCAGATCCTCCTTCACGTACATCAGCTGGTCGGCCATCACGGTCTTCAGTTCGATGAACTCCTTACGCAACAGTTCCAGACACTTCTGCAGGAACTGGTAGATGGAGTTGCCCTTCTTCATCAGCACGCTGCGTCGATGGCCTGAGCCATCCCAGTAACTGAACGTGATGGAAATGTCTTCGTCTTTCAGTTCCGCCTGCTGCATGACCCACTCCTGGCGCAGTTGCTCGCGCAGTCGATTCTCCTGCTCCTCGCGCTCCCGATCTGGCAGGAAGGAGGTGTCCACGTCGGGATTTTTGCATATTTTCTTTTTCTTTAAAGGAACAATCTCGTCCTGCATCTCCGTCCACTTGGGCTTGACTTTGGGTTTCTCCTCCAGCTTTATCTTGGGCTCCTCGATGTCGAGTTCTTCATCTGCCTCCTCGTCTTCGTCCAGGTTAAAGGACAGTGCCTGGATCTGTCGCTTTTGCTTGTTTTTCTCCGCCTGAATGGCCTCCAAGGCGCGCTGCTTCTCCCGGTCCTTTTCATCCTTTTTCTGGGCCAGTTTCTTCTCTCGTTCCCGCACTATGTCCTCCTGCTTGGCCTTCATCTCGTCGAGGGTGACCAGGCCAATGGTCGAGGACTTGAGCTGCTGCTCCACTGCATCGTAGTGGGTGGCAAACTTATTCTCAATCTTTTCCAGCTTTAGCTCCTCCTCGATTTTCTTCTTGCGGAACTCGATCTCCTGCTGCTGGATCTCGCGCTTCTTCATTAGCTGGGCGGCACGGCCCGCCTCGCTGGCGGCACCTTTATAGTGAGCCATCCTTGCTCAGTTATATATATTATTTATTTATTATTTTTCACTTAATTTGTGCAAGTGAAATTTGTAAACATATAATAAGTGTGACCGTTTCCAGATAAGACAAAAATCTTCTGCGCGACAGCGGAAGTTGCCAGACCTACTTAAATTCTTTGTGGTGTAGAGCTGCCATATCCGTTGAAAAACGACATAGTGCTACCAGATTTCAAAATCGCAGTTTCATAACAATGACCTTTTGTCAGATACCACGTATGACAGTTACTTTTCAATTTGAAGGAAAGCTTTTAACGTTCGTCCTTTAAAGTCCTTCCGGCAAGCTTCCATCTGCGTAGCATGTTATTTGTGTTTGGCCTTTGCCGTTGGCCGTTTCAGTTACATCGGAACTTTCAAACCCATTGGTTATTGGTTGAACGCGCGCATTCAGAATTGTTGCGAAAGTGTTAAAGAAGTTTTTGAACCCGAAAACAGCAGTTAAATGGCTTGAGTGAAATGTAAAGTGTTATTGGGCAACGGATCGAATTGTTTGGAGTAGTGGCGGAGAACTGGTTAAGGATTATGCCGAGCAGGGCCTGCAGAAGTGACCCAGTGAGCGTGCTGGACCACAGAAATGTTGGCAAGGACATTACGGACAAAAAATCGTGCCAATTCAGTTTTAGATAAATATGGGGGATGTTGCGGAAACGGAAGTGCCAAATTGAAATGCCATTTAAGCCAGGCGCGCGATTTGCCCGACTTCGTTTACGACTGATCCGGATTCGGATGGTCAGAGGACTCCGATTTCTTGGGGGGATTTTTAGAAAGTATAGGGATGTTGCAGCATCCCCAGACGATACTTGGCGTCTGCTTGGGTAGTCCCCGCTCTTGACATTGATTATATTCATGAGGCACAGTCATAAATTCCAGCACCACTGACTGTTTACGAGGATTCTGTGCCCCAGCGTCTCCCCTCCAAGATGTTGGCAAGTGGCGCGCGGAGTGCCAATAAAATCATTAACTGTTGCAGCGCATTAAATTCATGGCCCAGACGATGCTGCCGTTATTCGCCCAGCAAACATTGCCATAAAACCTCGACCCATTCACGACATATTTCATTTCGATTCGTCAGCCCATCTCCAGCTCCTCAGCTCCTCATCTCCTAATTGCCAAAGGTCCCGAGTCCCGAGGGCGTGTGAAAAACTATTAAAAGGCCGTTGGGCCGAGCATCCTGGGCCATAATTAATGGCGACAATGACTTGATCGGCCGATAATTGATTTATCGGCATTTATATTGCCAAACTCATGCACATGGTCACCGGAACGGTTGTCGCTCCCACGGGAGCTCGTAAATTGTTCAGAAGTTCGGATTCCTCCCAGCCCCATGCCACAAATTGACTTTAATTTCTGGGCCAAAGTTTCGTTTGGTTACCCAACTAAATCCATTCAAGTTTTAGTTTGTTCTATTGTATTATCTTGGCTTTGGCCCGCACATGCTTCCCCCCACAGAGTTTCGGCCAAAAATTAGTTTGGCAGTGGATTTGGCCGGCCACTCGGATATTCAGTATTTGCATTCCTTTCGACAGACTTCTCCCCCAATTCGCCAAACTATTTTTGTGCTGAAAGTTGGCAGGAAAGTTTTTTGGTTGCGACAAAGAAATCAATTGAAAATGATTGAAACCTAATTTCCCAAATGGACTGAATACATAAATCAATAAATTAGGTGATTTCGAAGGTGGGCATCGGCAGAGGCACCTCACTCATTAGGGGAAGTTTAATGTATTCAAGGGTTATTCATATCGATCGAGTTGTTTTTAGACTAATGGAATGCTACTTTATTTTTCATACGAAAATGCATTTATCAACACGCATTATTTTTGTCTGGCATGTAGTATTAATAATTGTATTATCATTTCCATTAACATTATCGTCTTAAGCCCCAATCATTAAATATTAAAGTACTTTATTTATTGTTAATTTTTTGATAATCAGAAATTTTAAGTACAAGCTATTAATTCTCAGATTTTAATATTTTAGCCGTTTAGGGCAGTTAACTGATTTAAACTGATGTGTTCTTGTAAAATATTTTTTTTTTTTTAAATGTAATATTTGTCCATCCATCACCCAATAAAATTGGGCCTCTCTGGTTTAAAATCCTTTATATTTGCGTAGTTAATTAAATTGGATAAAGTGTGCACTTTCATTCAATTTTGTTCAATATATTTACACAAGCTCGCATATCGCTGGTTTGTGAGCTTGAATTGTAAATCTCCCCTATGCAATCAATATTTTTACAGAATAAATACATTTTTTTCGCTTCAGAGGACCGCAGTGAACTGTTAAGAGCAGTAATCTATGCTGATAGGAAGCTTTATATCTATGGACATGTCGCAGCAAATGAACCTCTCCAATCTCCCCGATTAGGGCATTATGTTGTAACCCTCTCTTCATGAAATTAATGGAAAAATATGCGAATTTCATTGGAGTCCTAGATTTATTCTTCTGTTTTGTCTCTTAGGGTCCATCTTTTTTGTCTGACATCCTAAAAACATACTTTGTTTGTTTTATCCCCACACTTTTTGTGGTCTTAAGTCGCTGTCCTTGTCTTGATTTCGGAAATTGTTTTTACCCACATTTCATTTGTTCGCAAAACTTTTTGCATTGCGCGGGCAATGGAACGCCGAAAAAAAATTGACACAATTTAAACTTTTGTATAAACAAAAGCAATGCAGGGCATCCAAACAGAAAAGGTTAGCCAAACGAGCCATTTGTTCCTGCTGCTGCTTTCTTTTTTTTGCTCCATTTTCTTCCCCTTTTTAGCTGCGTTGTGTTTTTTTTTTGGCATTGCCAGCTTATTACAGCACACACAACTAAACGCTGGCGGGTTTTTTGAAATTTGTCAAAAGGGAAACCCAGCCCTAGTCGTTTCATCCTTTATTTTTCCGCTGTTGGTTTCTCAATTTCGTTTAAATTGCGCACATTTGAAACAATTTGCCATCAGCAAGCGCCCACACATGCATTTTTTCACCAGGCTGCATTTTGCGGCTTGGCAGAGATTTATGCAGGCTTTTCATAAAGCTGACAACATGACGTATGATTAATATCGTTGCCTGTTCGCTGGATTGTTATTTTGCTGCATTTAATTAAATCTGTGAGACTTGATTAAGTGCTCATTTTGCCAGACAACCAGCCCTTCAAAAATATATAAATACAGAATTGTTTTAAGTCCCTAGCTATATTGTATTGTGATTGTATAAATTGCTATTTCTGGGCCATCGTTTCTTGGCAACTGAGGGTAATTGAAATTGCCACTAAAAATATAAACAAGTAGTACTAAAATTATGCAAAGAGCAAGCGAGGACGATGTTGTGCTGAAAATACATATACTATACGACATGGTCTCAATAAATTTGTGCATTTCATGACATTGGCGTCGATGCGTTTCGAGAATTCTCACTTTATATATTGTGTGCCAGCTTCTGCCTGGTTGACATTTCTTGGCCCTCTCTGTTCTGCCATATGTGTGAAAATGCCAACGTTCATTGCAATGCAATTAATAACAAGAAAGGAAAGCTAACTTCGGGCGGAGCCGAAGTTGATATACCCTTGCAGAATACTCTGTAAATTATATTCTCCAAAATTATTCATATGATGCATTCTTAATACTCATAAAAAATCCGAACTTCCTAACTTTAACAACAACAAAGTTATGGCATTTCCAATCGTTCAGTTATATGGCAGCTATAGGATATAGTCGGCCGATCCTTATGAAATTTGATAGGTCGGATTGATTGGCCAAAAATAAAATCCATAGAAAATCCCAACTTCCTAACTTTACAAACACCAAAGTTATGGCATTTCCGATCAATCAGTTATATGGCAGCTATAGGATATAGTCGGCCGATCCTTATGAAATTTGGTAGGTCGGATTGATTGGCCAAAAATAAAATCCATAGAAAATCCCAACTTCCTAACTTAACAAACACCAAAGTTATGGCATTTCCGATCAATCAGTTATATGGCAGCTATAGGATATAGTCGGCCGATCCTTATGAAATTTGGTGGGTCGGATTGATTGGCCAAATATAAAACCCATAGAAAATCCCAACTTTCTAACTTTACAAACACCAAAGTTATGGCATTTCCGATCAATCAGTTATATGGCAGCTATAGGATATAGTCGGCCGATCCTTATGAAATTTGGTAGGTCGGATTGATTGGCCAAAAATAAAATCCATAGAAAATCCCAACTTCCTAACTTAACAAACACCAAAGTTATGGCATTTCCGATCAATCAGTTATATGGCAGCTATAGGATATAGTCGGCCGATCCTTATGAAATTTGGTGGGTCGGATTGATTGGCCAAATATAAAACCCATAGAAAATCCCAACTTCCTAACTTAACAAACACCAAAGTTATGGCATTTCCGATCAATCAGTTATATGGCAGCTATAGGATATAGTCGGCCGATCCTTATGAAATTTGGTGGGTCGGATTGATTGGCCAAATATAAAACCCATAGAAAATCCCAACTTTCTAACTTTACAAACACCAAAGTTATGGCATTTCCGATCAATAAGTTATATGGCAGCTATAGGATATAGTCGGCCGATCCTTATGAAATTTGGTAGGTCGGATTGATTGGCCAAATATAAAACCCATAGAAAATCCCAACTTTCTAACTTTACAAACACCAAAGTTATGGCATTTCCGATCAATCAGTTATATGGCAGCTATAGGATATAGTCGGCCGATCCTTATGAAATTTGGTAGGTCGGATTGATTGGCCAAATATAAAACCCATAGAAAATCCCAACTTCCTAACTTTACAAACACGGAAGTTATGGCATTTCCGATCAATAAGTTATATGGCAGCTATAGGATATAGTCGGCCGATCCTTATGAAATTTGGTAGGTCGGATTGATTGGCCAAATATAAAACCCATAGAAAATCCCAACTTTCTAACTTTACAAACACCAAAGTTATGGCATTTCCGATCAATCAGTTATATGGCAGCTATAGGATATAGTCGGCCGATCCTTATGAAATTTGGTAGGTCGGATTGATTGGCCAAATATAAAACCCATAGAAAATCCCAACTTCCTAACTTTACAAACACGGAAGTTATGGCATTTCCGATCAATCAGTTATATGGCAGCTATAGGATATAGTCGGCCGATCCCGGCCGTTCCGACTTATATACTGCGTGCAAAGGAAAGAAGGGTGTGTGCAAAGTTTCAATCCGATAGCTTTAAAACTGAGAGACTAGTTTGCGTAGAAACAGACAGACGGACAGACGGACATGGCTATATCAACTCAGGAGGTGATCCTGATCAAGAATATATATACTTTATAGGGTCGGAGATGTCTCCTTCACTGCGTTGCACACTTTTGACCAAAATTATAATACCCTCTGCAAGGGTATAAAAATGACTGCAGACTTCTGGTTGATATATGCAAAAATGTCCTTGGTAAATGTATGGCAACTTTAAAAGGGATCTTTTGAGTCAGACTA